GATGAACGAAACTTCTACCAAAAAGATTTATGAAATGTAAAGGATTCTTTTGATTGCTACATCGCAATTACGTTGCATTGAGTATAGTTTTAATATGAGGTTTCATCAGACTTCTATTGAAATTGATTTTGTCTGCATCTCAAAGTAGAATACAACATGACTACAAGTGGAAATACGATGACTTCAGTCTTTTATTTTGCACCAGGGAAAACTTATCCTAAACCATGGTTATAATACTTTTCAAGAAACTTGCCTGACTTAATATTAACTATGTTTCTGAAGTATTACTTGACCTCTGTTTATTTTTCTTTACGCAGGCTTGTGATATATTAAATGAATAGAAAAGACAAAAATAAGAAAAACATTTTTAAAAGATTGTTTATTAAAGGTAATATAAATATTCTTGTAATAAATGCAAGTTATTGACATAAATAGTATCAGATTCCTTGACCGTCGGAGGACGAGTGATTTTTTTTTCAGTGAAACATTCCAGTCTTTTCATGAACGTGTAACTCATCTCCACTTTGGGGGTAAACAGGATACAAAATTCGTGGAAAATCTTACCGAATTCACAGCTTTATTGTTACTTGGCCGTATACGATATTATATTTGTATAATGTGATAAATATTCTCCTACTTTCTAACGCTCGAAATTCTGGTTATAAGAACATACATTTCTAATTTTCATTGAAGCTATCACATCTATTAAATAAATCAAACATTTCAAAGGAATAGCGTTAAGAACTACTTGTGACGTTTGGCAGAAATAATGCATCATGACCTGACTTAGTAGTAGACAAATGGCGACAATAGTGCAGAAATATATAACATTGGCATGCCTGTATATGGAGTTGCATGGGATAAAAAGTTGAATACATATCGAAAAAAGGAAAGAAAACTGTATCATCTGTTCATCATTAATAGATTATCTATCCTAAAAATTACTGTTAAAACTCAAGTAACAAATTCCGATGTGATCATCTTGATCAAAGTTTGGCAAGCTGGCTGTCATTTTACAATTCCAAATTGAATTTTAAAAAAAAATGTAATGTATATTAGAATAAAAAAGCAATCTCGCGATATTCGAATGTTAATTTGAAGCGGGTTCCCAATGGTGTAATGGGTACCGCAATGGATTTTCACGCTGGCAACCCGGGTTCGATCCCCCATGTTTCCGATTTTTTAAAGTCACTTTTTCAGTTTGATTTTACTTTTTTCTGAATCGGACGGAAGACCTCTCGTTGCTCGCAACGAGTTTCTTTTCTAGTTAAGGTCTTCCGTCTCCAACGGAAGACCTTCTTGTTTTCGTTCGGTTTCTTTTTCCCTATTATTATTATTATTCTTCCAACCGATTTTGTGCAAGCGATTTCTCAGAGATGGCTCGTCCGATTTCTACCAAACTTTCAGATCTGAAAGATATTCAATTGATCTTGATAGGTTTTTTTCCTTTTTGATTATCTCACTTCCGGTCGTGAGATATGGACGATTTTCTGATTTTCAGAGGGTCGGCTTGTCCGGGAAACTCCTCCGAAACGACTTAAGATATGGACTTGAGATTTTCAGGGAAAATAGAGGAAGGTTTGGTGAGTTGTAATTGGGTCTCCAAATCTTTCTAGCGCAAAAGGCACCGAAGTTCGGTAGGGCCGAAAAAATGTCTCAGAAATATCTCACAAAATTTGACGCATTTTGTCTCATATCTTCACTCCTGTTCATAATTTGTTAAAACATATTGAAGACAAAATATTCAATATCGCAAGACCTTTCATTTGATATAAAAAAAATAGGGCTGACCCTTCAAATTAGGGGCTAAGAGGGGCCAAAAGTTTTTTATCTATAACTCTCTAATGATCAATTCTTTGTTATACATTATTGATCAAAAGTATTCATCTTAACAATTAGATTATAACTATCTAAGTTGTTTGAAAATTGGCTTATCTGAATTCTAGATATTAATATTTGAAAATCTGAAGCGGGCCCCAGATGGCGGCTGTCTTTGTCAATTCCGCCATTTCGCAATTGGGGTTTATGGAGGCAGCTGAGCGTTTGATTAAACCATTCTGACATACGAATGCATGAAATGTAAACAAAACTACTTGGACTTTCACGTAGTAGTACGTTGCAATTCAGTGTCGATCTTAACACTTAATTTCCGTTTCACTACTTAAGTGTAACTGGGCTAGATACGATATATGTAATGTGTACAAAGACTTTTTAAACGTCGAAATAAAATAAAGGCGATAAGAACGTTTTATTTATTTTATTTCATAAAAGTTCAAAGAAAATGCGCGAATATTTACTCCTGGCGTTTGGCGCAAATTATTAATAGTGACCCGCCTTTTATGATTCTTAGACAGGTGTACTGTTGCAAAAGTATACACACAAGTATATTTAGAGCAGTACTCCCAAAAGCTTAATGGTTTGCGCGTTGGGGATAAAACAGAAAAAGGCGACATGGGTTCAATCCTCTTTGCGACCAAAATTTTGAATCTTTTTCTGTGATATTCATGGCATAAGTAAAGGCCCCTATTTGCTGATTTAACGTATAATCAGTTTCTTGATTTGATAAAGAAGAAATTAAATATCTTTGAATGTCTTAGAACTTTCGCAAGCGTAGGTTCAACGTTTTCTTAAACACTAAAAAATATTCATTTCATTTTCTCATAAATAGGCTGCGCGGGTAATACACATGGTGCCAATGTGCAGGTAAGGTCTTCCCCGTGATGGGGAATGGACCTGTAGAAAACCTTCTCTGGTTCTGCAGAGTCGAGTTTTTAGCAAATAAAATGTATGAAAATGCACGAATATTTACTCGTGGCGTTTGGCGCATATTATTGATAGTGACCCGCCTTTTATGATTCTTAGACAGGTGTACTGTTGCAAAAGTATACACACAAGTATATTTAGAGCAGTACTCCCAAAAGCTTTATGGTTTGCGCGTTGGGGATAAAACAGAAAAAGGCGACATGGGTTCAATCCTCTTTGCGACCAAAATTTTGAATCACTTTTCAGCTCGATTATACGAGATTTTTTTTCCTGAATCGGACGGAAGACCTCTCGTTGCTAGCAACGAGATCGTTTCTAGTTATTATTATTATGTTCCCCAAACGAAGTTTATTGTTTTTACTCTGTTCTTATTATTATTATTATTATTATTATTATTATTCTTTTTTCTTCTTATTTCTTCTCCGGTACTTTTTTGTCCGGAAGTGTTCTCAGAAACTGTTCACCAAACTAAGTTAAAACCTTTTTAGGGTTAGTAGGCATGTTGTGTAGATGTGCCGAACGAAGGTCATTTTGCGCGCATTCGCATGCACGTGCGGGCGCGTGCAATGAGTAAAATGACTGATATATTTAATATGGTTGTAACTTTTATATTTTTTGATAAAATGTTTTGAAACTCATTATATAAAGATATATAAGTTGTGTAGATAAGATGACATGGTCAAATTTGCATGAACTCACGCGCATGCACGTGCGCTTTGCTCTGATTGGCTGAAACAGAAATCTCAATATCTTTTTTGTTTTATGATGAAATGCTTTGAAATTTATAACATAGACATGCATTAGGATGTACTACAATATGATATATAAAATTTTTCATGAAATCACGCGCATGCGCGTGCGCTGCAATCTGATTGGCTGAAACTTTAAATGACTATAACTCCCTTGGTTTTCAACCAAACAGCATGGGATTTACAACATAGATAGACATAAAGGACTCCTAAAGGATGGTATGGTCACCATTCACATGCATGCACGTGCGTGCACGTGCGCTTTGCTCTGATTGGCTGAAACAAAAATCTCAATATCTTTTCTGTTTTTTTACAAAATGCTTTGAAATTTAAAACATAGGCATACTTTAAGATGTCCTACAATATGATATATAATAATTGTCATGAAAATACGCGCATGCACGTGCGCTGCAATCTGATTGGCTTAAACTTTAAATGGCTATAACTCCCTTGTTTTTCAACCAAACAGGATGGGATTAAGAACATAGACAGACATAATGGACTCCTACAAGAAGGTATGGTCATCATGCACGTGCGTGCACGTGCAAATGAGTAAAATAGTGTAGACAAGATGATATCGTCATTACGCTCATGCAATCACATGCGCACGCCTGCATTGCTTAAATTTGAAATACTTGGTATACTTTTGGGAAAACGTTGTTTACGTCTTAAATGCAGTTAGATTTTGCCTTCAGAAACTGTTCACCCAATGAAACTTACATTTTGCGCGGGAATATGGCTGATATACTTAATATAGCTATAACTTTAACATTTTTTAAGAATGATTTGAAACTCATTATGTAAAGATATCTTAATAGTGTAGTTGACGAAATGCGATGAAATTTAAAACATAGGCAAACTTTAGGATGTCCTACAATAGGATATATAACAATTATCATGAAAACACGTGCATGCACGTGCGCTGCAATCTGATTGGCTTAAACTTTAAATGGCTATAACTCCCTTGTTTTTCAACCAAACAGGATGGGATTTAGAATAAAGATAGACATAATGAACTCCTAAAGAAGGTATAGTCACCATGCACATGCTTGCACGTGCGTGCACGTGAAATGAATAAAATTTAAAATATGCTTAAATGAGTGTATTTTTTCATACTTCTGGATTAAATGCTTTGATATTAAGTATATTAAAATATATAGATGTGTACACAAGATGAAATGGTCATTGCGCACATGCATTCACATGAGCACGCGTGCAATGCTAAGATTTAAATATATTTTGTATTCTTCTTGGAAAACGTTGTTTAAGTCTAAATTGCATAAAGTATGTCTTATTTAATAGAGCTTACAGGGATTATGGCACCAAAAGGGAGTTGGAGAGCGTTTGGGGAACATCTGTAACGGTCCCCGTTACAATTAGCCCTAGTTGTTATATGTAGTTGATTTTGCGATAACTTCAAAATGTTATATGTTGGTGATTTCGCCATTTTGTTTGTGCCGCCTTCATGGTGTTCATTGTTATATGTAGGTGATTTTGCCATCTTACTCGCCGCTGGCTTCACCGTGAAGAGAGCTATTGTGGCTAACCTTCTGTCCAGCATCACCGCCTTTGTTGGACTCTTCATAGGAATTTCCGTGGGCGCAGAGTTCAAGATCTGGATCATAGCTGCTGGCGCCGGCATGTTTCTATATATTTCTCTGGGAACGATGGTATGGTTTTTGTTTCTTAATACGTTAATCAACTGTTAATTGTATTACACTGTATTCAAATAAGTGATTGTATTCTACTATTAAACTAGTCAATTTACGTCGAAATAAAAATGGATGCTCTTTATATCAGCCCTGTCTAGGCTTTCGGCCTTCTCTAATGCTAATAGTACTCGGCTAGATACAGAGCATAATATTATTTTTAGAAATATGAAATTATTTTCTTTACATCATAGTGTATCAAATATTAATGAGAGACTCGTTTTCAGATGCCAGAGCTAGTCCGTATATTCAGAAACAATCCATGTAAAGAAATGTTCTTTTCTTTGAATGCGGGCTATATTTTTGGAGTGGTGGGAATGCTGCTGTTAGCAATTTACGAAGAGGGAATAAAAATTACGTAATAAATACTCTTCAGTTTGGAATATTTATTTGCAATGATTTAGATTCAGTAATTTAATCCTATCTATTAATTATGGTAAATGAGATTCAGTAAATTAACCAAATGATATATGATGAGTACGAATGAGTTAATTATACATATGGAGATAACGAACAGTATTCAAGCTCAAAAGTTCATTAAAGAATACAAAATATAGGAGCAGAGCAAACACGGACCTTCAAAACATCAGAGCTGGGATTGAGTGTCATCGAGGAGTGAACATCCCCTGCCGACAGGTCAAACCCGCCGTGTACTCCTTATCATGATAGGGAAATAAAGGAAAAATCCGTCGTCAATTCAGTGTATATATAATAATGGACTAACAATTAGTATGAAAAACGACATTATAATCAATTATGGATATGTAGATAACGAAGAGTATCCAATCTCAAAGTCCATTAAACAATACAAAATAAGAGGAGAGCAAACACGGTAAAGGAAGTTGACGATAGAAAAGTTAAAGTCGTCACATTTATTATATATACTCAACAAAAAAGAAACGCATATTCAGATTAAACATGATAATATAAGTTTCAGTTTACTCCTTATTTTTTTATTAGTGATTTTAGAGAATTTTGATAAAAATCAAACATGTCCTGTGTTGTGAGTAAAAAATGACGTTTATGTCATTGTCGACACCTCCAAATCCTAGGGGCATACCGTCTAAAACATCCATATGTCCTTTGCGACGTCCAAGCACAACTGGATTTCCAATGTACGGATGTCGTGCACAAATACCAGCTCCTCTCAGTCTCTTGCGAACAATTTATACACTTTTATGGAATTTTTTTCATCCAGCAATTGTAGCAGCAATTTTTACAGCAGTTCTGAATCGCGTGAGGTGCTGAAAAGGGGGCTCTGACGGTCCTGCCTGGGTGTGCTTACCTGCGGATAGCCAATTCTTGGTCTTCCGACGTTAGTTTAACGGCTGCAAAGCCCATTGATGTGTTCCAAATGCAGTTGCAACTTCCTGTTTTATATCTTTGTTAGCCTTGTTGTGTTCATTTTTGTTTCGGCGTGGTATTGCAGCATCAACATTGCAATCAAATCTTAAATATAGGTTTAATAGGAGTGATAATAGTTTCTCTAAATCCAAAATATCAACAAAAATAGACATCCGATTTAGAAGAAATCATGAAAAACAATACTTTCATAAACACGTTTAATCAAGGGAGATCATTCAACACTTGGGTTTTAAAACCCCATGTTTTCCTTTAAATATGTCACAGGAATCCAATGATATAAAATATAGTTATTCCATGTACATTTTAAAAATTTCTTTGACTTGTAAAATAATATGCGTTTCTTTTTTGTTGAGTATAGCTTGGTTGTTAGATTACTATTAACGTCTTTTTCAAGTAAAATATCCAAGTATAAAACAGATGAGTCAGACTCTGTCGTGTCTTTAATCTCAAGCTCACCTGAAATTAATATCGTATCGGCGAAGGAATGGAAATTACCATTGTTAATTTACAATACGTCGTCGATATATCTGAAAGTCGAGTTGAAGGCCATAGCAAGTGTTTTCTTCTTTTCACGCATTAGATTTTGAGTAAATTCTGCTTTATATGAATACAAAAAATATGTCTTCTAATAACGGGGCGTATTGGTACCCATGGGAATTACAATGGATTGTTGGAAGACCTGGTCTTCAAAAACGACATAAATATTGTAAATCAGAAACCAGAAACTCGAGTATCTTTTTGATGCCAACTTCAGAGTACTTGAGTGTACAATCAGAATCTCTTTTAACAAATTATTTTTGCAAGTGACCAATGACCAGGTAAGTAAATTTACGAGTTCCCCGCAATGTATCTTTGTTTGTAAGGATTCTTATGAAGTTTCGGAATCCAATATATATAAGGTAGTTCAAATTCATTTTGGCTCTGTTGAATATTAAAAATATTCACAACTGACGCATGATTTTGAAGACTTTCTTTCTAGGATTACCACTTGTAGAATTAAATCCAAGTTCTTCTAGAATGCAATTTATATAATGAGCCTTACAAACGAAGACAATGTTGTTACTTTCTTTGTCGGCAGGAACCGGTACGTACTGATCATGTGATAACTAATTCTTTTTTCACTTCTGGTTTATTGAACACAGAAGGATAGATGGTTTTCATATTGCCCCTCAATCTTTTAATACGTGACTTAAGCATGGGTCTGATACATTGAATCCATTTGACAAGGTGTCACGTCTTCCTTTTCATATCTGGCCCATCGTCTGGCGTAATCTTCAACAGAATCCATAATCCATAATATTTCTGAAATTACGACGCCAGTTGAAGGATCGAGGTTCCCTGTATTTAGGACCTTTTAAAGTAATTAATCTAAGGTCTTCATTATTAACTATATTTACGTCACCTGTAATTACGTATCCAGCAGGACTATAGTTATAGGGTGAAGAAGAACATGAACACGAAGGCGGATTATGTTTCAGATACTCGGTGTTTGCTGACAATTTCCTTGTATCCACCAAACATGATTATAGAATTTACAAAATGATGACTTTAAACGAGAATGCTGATACATGTTTTCTTGTTTGATCAATTTGCTTTTCAATAAATTACCTCGTTTAAGAATGTGTTCATACCTAGAGCATCGAATTAACGGAGATATTTAGACTCCGTATGCTGGCGATGAAGGTATTTTGCTGTATAAGTAAGAGAAGTTGACGATTGAAAAGTTAAAGTCATCCCGTTTATCAAAGAACTTGGTTGTAAGATTACCATTTACGTGTTTTTCAAGTAAAATATACAAATATGAAACAGATGTATCAGACTCTATTGTATCTCTTATCTCAAACTCACCAGGATATATCGTATCGACCTAAGAATGGAAATTACCATTGCTAATTTACAGTACGTCGTCGATATATCTAAATGTCGACTTGAAGGCCACAGTAAGTGTTTTCTTCTTTTAACGTATAGGATATTGGACTAGTTCTACTTCATATAAATACAAAATTAGTCTGCTAATAACGGGGCGCAATTGATACCCATAGAACCCATAGAAATTCCAATAGATTGTTGGAAGGCCTTGTCTCCAAAACCACCTAGATATTATCAATCAGAAACTCTGGAAAGCATCTTTTTGATGTCCACTTTAAAGTACGTGTATGTACAATCATAATGTTTTTAACAAAACAGTTTTGCAAATGATCAATGACAAAGCAAGTAAATTTACGAGTTCCATTTTTATTGAAAAAGCAGATGATATCATGATATCAAAAAGTTTGGACTTTAATTCATCATGGGGAATGGTTGCGTATGAAGTTGAAAAGTCGTAAGTTTTAAAGCTGTTGTTGTTTTTAAAATCTTGTAATTTTGATTATTTTTTTTATTTATTTAAGTTAAATTTATTTATATCAGTTAATATTTATATTCAGTAAATTTGATTTATTTATTACGTAATGCATGTTTTTACGATTCAGTAAATTTTTTTTTATGATTTCGTAATATTTAAGATTCGATAAATTGACAACTTTTACGTTTATATTATAATTTTTCTAACATATTGTAATGAAATAGAATAATTATGGTGGATTAAAATGTTTCTGGAAACGTACAATAGAATCATTTATATTTAACCAATTAACGTTTATTTTACAGCCAGTCAGAGTTCCCAAATTATTAATCAATCATCAGTAATTAGAAAAGGTATAAGCAAATACCCCCATGTAGTATTCGTTTACTTGGTCGTAACTCATCGATTGAGTTACACCTTTGGGCTAGATTCTTGGGCTGTGTCGGGAAACAATCAAATTGTTCGTTAGACCACGCAACTCAGGAACCTAGTTCCTTTTAGTCTCTCAGTGACTAGTGTCTTGGTGACTTCATTTATATTGTGTCTTGGTGACTTTTAATAAAGGTGTCTCAGTGACTTGTTAGGGTGTGTTTTAAGTAGTTACAGACTGTGTCGGGAATCAACGAATTGTTCGTTATACCAATCAGTCTGCAGCTACAGAGATAGGTTTTAGATTTGATTATTGATCTAAATTGTGGCTTGTTAAGTTATCAAGTTTGTTTATTAATCATTATCCAGATAGGACCGAGGAAAATAATATACATATATAGTGAATTTAAGTCGTTTCTTTTTTTAGTGTCATTGCTATCAATTAAGGTGTTTTTATTTCATATTATAAGAGAAATTCTTAGGAAGGAAACCTAAGTGGTCCCAATTGATAATTACACTGTATTTGTACATTGTAAAAACGTTACAATATGAACATGATGTAAAAATAAAAATGATTTTAAGGCAAAGTAACTTTGTATTATTATGTTCTCTTGTCACAGAGGGTAGAGTGAAAGTCTTTTGGCTTATTTTAAGGGATTCAGTGAGATTAAATCACTCTACCAGTTTTGAAGTTTTGTGTGAAATCGCATCATCATTACTACCACAACCTTAACTCCTGGCTTCAAAATTTGAACTATTTTGAAGCCATTTACATTATTTCAAGGATGTTTGTATATCAATATAAATAAGTGTATACATTCAATTTTTTTTAATTCTCTGTATCCCCATGTAAATCTATGATCCCTAATCATGGCCTCAGTGTTTCCAAAGTATTGTGATTTTAGAAACTAGCATCTGCACTATCTGAGGATGCATGCAAGCAAGCTTTTAGCAAAGAAAGAGACCTTAACTTAATTTAATTGTATCCAAATCAAGTTCCTTCTCCATTTGGGGAAATCTGAATCTTCACTTCTCACGTCTGCTGTTTTAATGGTTATTCCTTTCTATCGTTATTTGAGTGGGTGATATTACCTATTCGAATAAGTGATATCTGCTATTTGATTTAAATACTTTAGATTCCTACATATTCGCCTGAAATTAATTACTGTGCAATTTTGCGAGAAGCACTACACACGAAATAAAATTACTTGCCTAAATATTTTTATGCTGCTGAAATCTATGTAAAATCCTTTGACCAACCGTCCATTTGCAAATTATTATTCTCGCAATATGATATTTAAGAGCCCATGCGCAATAATAATTACTTACAAATAATAAGGAATCTACAGTGAGATCAACTACCTCCTGTCGTACATTCTACCCCTGAGGGCCATGAGTAACATTTAATCTAAACGACCTGAAAATTCTTGCATGACCAATTTGTCAGACATCTTTAATATGTAATTTAAACCTTTATTTATGCCATTCAAATAAACAGTAATGAAAGATCACTTAAATCAGCCATTTTATTGAGCACTATAGGTATTTTGATGCTTTTCTATCCATTATCACAAGTTAAGGAATCATTTTTCACTATTTCAGCAGAAAAATAATAATCACAAGGTAAAAATTGACATTTTTATTTACATAATAATGATATAAATGTACATTTAAGCAGATTCGGACAGCTAGAAAACCTTGAACAATGTATGAACTGACGTGTCAAGGAATGTATAAGAATAACTGTTATAAATAAATAATAGCTACTATTATTGTAATGGTTATGTGACTTTGATCAGAGTCACTCAATGTTTTCAGTGTACAGGTGAGCTAGGCAGGCCTCGGGTCAGGACAGCTAGCCTGGGAGGGTTTGAGCTGCTATGACGGTCGACTGTTAGACGGAAGAGTTGATGAGGAACGGGCGTTAGGCTGTCGGCCCTGAATTCCGAATGAAGCGTACTGTCTCGTGCCTCGTGTGGGCCTAAAAAAAAAAATTAAAATACTTAATACATGTTCATGTACAGATATGCATTAATTTTTTTTAAATAAAATGTTATAGAATCTAGTTTATGCAGGTACATCATCAGATTTCATTAAAGTACATGTCTGCATTATAAATATGTAGAGAGCAGAGGTGTAATCAGGTGCCTATGAGTGGTAAGCATTCCCTGTTGACCGATCACACCCGCCGTGAGCCCTATGTATTGATCAAGCATGACAGGACATTCAGTTGGCAGCAGGCACCCTTTGATTAGAGCTCACATAAACCTTCTTTAGATGATAAAATAACAAATGTGACCTACCCCCCTGTTCCTGAGACTGCGAAACCTTTGCCTTTAATCTTTTTACTGAGGTGTTGGATCCACATCTTCTGTTTCTCAGTGGTTTCTGCTAACAGCAGCATCTCCTTGGCCTGTATATTCTGATCAAAGTTCACTGAAAAAGAAGACATCTCGTTAGCCTGATATTCTGATCAAAGTTCACTGAAAAAGAAGACATCTCTTTAGCCTTTATTTTCTGATCAAAGTTCACTGAAAAAAAACAAGACATCTCATTAGCCTGTATATTCTGATCAAAGTTCATCAAAAACATTTGGATATAAAAAAAGTGACTTTAGATAAACATCACAAACGTATACTGAACAAAAAAAGAAACGCATAATCAGAATAATATGAAATTCTAAGTTTTCAGTTTAAACCTTATATAATTTAAGCGATTTTAGAGTGTGTTGTGATAAAAATCAATGTTGCAAATTGAAAAGTCAAGTTGAGGTCATTTTCATTGCCCCCAAATTCAAGGGGCATAACAATATGTACTGTGCAAAGTCTCAGTGCTAGTGGGTTTCCAATGTACGGATATCGTGGGTGAATATAATCTCAATTCAGTCTCATACGAACAATTTATGCATTTTTATGCTTATTTTTTCATCCAGCAATTGTAGCAGCAGTTTTACAGCAAGTTCTGAATCGCATGAAGTGATGGGGGGGGGGGGGGTGTCTGACGGTCCTGCCTGGTTGTGGTTACCTGCGGATGGCCAGATAGTGGTCTTCAGACATTAGTTGTAAGGTTGCAATGCCCATTGATTTATTTCAAATACAGTTGCAACTTCCTGTTGCGTAGCTCCATTTAGTATCATCGTTAGCCTGGTTTTATTTATCTTTGTTTGGGCGTGGCATTGCAGTATTAACACTGCAATAAAATCTTAAATATGGGTTTAAAAGAAGTGTTAAAAGTTTCTCTAAATCCAAAATATCAATGAAAATTGACATCTGATTTAGAAGAAATCATGAAAAACACTACTTTCATAAACATGTTTAATCAAGGGAGATAATTCAACACTTGGGTTTTAAAACCCCATGTTGTCCTTTAAATAGGTCACAGGTATCCAATGATATAAAAAATAGTTGTTTCATGTACATTTTAAAAATTTCTTTGACGAATAAAACAATATGCGTTTCTAATTTGTTGAGTATATATATCTTTCTTAATATATCAATGTCTTCAAGTTATCTCAATTTAGACACTGACAAATAATAATAAAAGTTTTCTTCTTTTTATGTTAACTTCATACAGAAAGACAAAGAATACTTTTCAGTTTAACTATAAAACTAATCCTGGTAAAGTATTGTCTTGTCATTTGCTATTTTAACTATACAATTTTTTTTCTTTCCTACATACCTTTACAATATCCTACAAATTCTTCATTTTTATCTAAATGGTCTTTATGAACCTTTGTATGGCATCCTACAATAAATAAACCAAATCATCAATCACTGATTATAATACAAACCACTTACAAAAGAAAAAAAAAACATTAAATGTTAATATACAATACATACAGTATTGCAAGTATCTGACTGTTATCTAACTTACTACCACTCTTTATTGGGGAAGTCAAGGAAGCTCTAAATCTCGCAAGATTTCTAGAGCATACCATTGTTTCAGTAGTGACAAGTTTATGATTTAAATATCATGCAAAAAAAAAAAAACAATCTATTGCAAAGGGTTCAACTCCAAAAAGTACATTGTCAAATAAGGAGTTTCCACCAGATGTTTCCTACCTTCCCCATAAAAGAGTTCTGCTAAGTTATTTATTGCGATATCAAGTATTATTGTTGATATGTGATTATCAGAACCTAAGTAACATTGATAAAAGACACAGAAACTGATACTAACCAAACGTTCAACATCAACTTAATTTTCTGCATCTCCCATCAATATTTCATGACAGTTTTCTGTAGTATTTTGTGACACTGGTGTTAGGATACTTACGTCGACACTCGAGAGCTTGCGTTAGTATGTGTGACACTGGTGTTTTAGGATACTTACGTCGACACTCGAGAGCTTGCGTAAGTATGTGTGACACTGGTGTTAGGATACTTGCGTCGACACTCGAGAGCTTGCGTTAGTATGTGTGACACTGGTGTTTTAGGATACTTACGTCGACACTCGAGAGCTTGCGTTTGTATGTGTGACACTGGTGTGTTAGGATGTGTGACACTGGTGTTAGGATACTTACGTCTACACTCGAGAGCTTGTGGAGGGTGAAGCATGTGCCACACAGGCTTGTTACAGGAATCACATGTGGTAGGAGTACGGTAATGAATCGGTACAAACTCGTGGCCTTTATGTTTCTCCACAGCTGACTTGTCCTGCAATCAAATTCACAGGTATGAAGGAACAGAGTAAAAGATTATCAGAAGTCACTATTGTTCTATCTGACATTATTTTGTGATTTGAGTCATCAAACATACTTGAAACAGAGATAAATTCTCTGTATATTTATCCTGTACTTCTCTTCAGCTTATCCAAATCTCTGTTGTTCAAGACTATGAAATTTACCTTTAGAGTGCCAAAATGTACAACAGATGCATGTCTGAAGTAATTGATAACAGTTCAGTGACAAATCGGATGATTCTCTAACCTACCTGGTTGACATCATTATGACTTATTTCCTTTAAAACTCACCTGGTGGAGATTATATCATGACCTACATGTATTTCCTCTATAACTTACCTGAGGGAGATTATCATAACCTATTTCTTCTATAACTTACCTGAGGGAGATTATCATGACCTATTTCCTCTGGTCTTCGATTCTCCCCCTCTGTAGCATATAGCACCTGTAACAGAGAAGTTCATTATATTCATAACTCATGTTGACAATAAAGATGTACAGCAGCATTAACATATAATCATATATATACACTAAATGATGATATCACATCTAGGAGACTTAAGTGAAAGAAATGCACACTTTTAGAATTAACAGAGGTATTTCATATTGGATGTCCCCTTGCATAACAATGAGGTAAATATTTCTACATGACTATCACTGCACCTGTAATGGACTAACAATGAGTTGTGTATTTCTACAAGACTATTACTGCACCTATAGTGGATTAACAATGAGTTATATATTTGTTCATGACTATCACTCACCTGAAATATCCTTGGAATATCTTTAGAGTCGGCTCTGTACACATCTCCTTGTGTGACTGGCCTCACATGGAATAAACATCTACAAGTACAAATCAAATTTTAAAAAAAACACCTACAAATACATTTCCAATTTAAATATTATTTCTTTCCCCAGCATAGTTATATGGATTGAAAACATTAGATTATGTAGAGACTTTCTGTCTACCTCCCCAGTACATCTGAAGTATAACACTAGAACTGGATCATAGAGATTCTGTTTACCTCCCCTAAACTTCTGACATTTAAAATACCTACTCTATGTCTAACACTAGAACTGGATCAGAGACATTCTGTTCACCTCCCCAATACATCTGACATTTAATACCCACTCTATTGGATCGGAGACATTCTGTTTACCTCCCCAGTATACATCTGACATTATATACTCGCTCTATGTCTAACACTACAACTAGATCAGAGACATTCTGTCTACCTCCCCTGTAATACTCACTCTATGACTAACACTAGAACTGGATCGGAGACATTCTGTTTACCTCCCCAGTATACATCTGACATTATATACTCACTCTATGTCTAACACTAGAACTGGATCAGAGACATTCTGTTTACCTCCCCAGTATATATCTGACATTTAATACTTACTCTATGTCTAACACTAGAACTGGATCGGAGACATTTTGTCGATCTGCCTCTGTGTTGTAGAATAACACTTTTTTACTGCTAACAACAACATACTGCTTCTTCCATCCATACTTCTTTATGTTTTGTTTGTTTGGCACTGATAACCACCCCTCCATGTAAGTATCACTGGAGGCTGTAAATATAACAAGAAATAAGGAAAATGAATGCTATGAATATAACCTGGGTAAGTATTACAGAAGGTTCTGAATATATACGTAAGTGTAAGTATCAAAGAAGACTGAGATAAAAGATATTCATCCACGACGGTCAGTTTATAACTTACATGTACTGGTCATACTTAGATCTCCGTCCTCAATATGAGAGCTATTTATAGACAAGTTATCCATGACGGCCAGTTTCTGTCGGAGTTGCTCGATCTCGCTTTCTTTAGCGTCCAGTTCCATCTGTAACTTCCCCTTCTGTTGCCCCTCCTCAAACAGTGCCGCCTGTGTCTCCGATAAATCTCGCGAATATTTCTCCACCATCTTGTTATACTTTTCTTTCTCCTGTTTTACAAAGACATTCTCCATTATTAAAACAGCATTTTAGAAAGAGATCAAGAAAAAAAATCACCCCCTGGCTTGTAAACTTAGTTTTCAGTCATTTACTTCCCCTTTGAAGCGGTTGAGAGCTACTACCGTATGCATTTACACTTTTCTCAAAACGTAGCTGGTAGATAATTAATTATCATAACGTACCATATGTAAGTCTTCTAATTATCATATTTTACCATATGTAAATCCTGCTGCAGTTTTCTCATCTCTTTCTCCTTCTTCTTTATATTCTGCTCTGCTGCACTGTTTTTTGAGGATTTGGACTGGTATCCTTTACGATTCATTATTTCTGCTAACTTATTGACAGCCTATAAAACAACAGAGGTCAGTGAGAAAGATGGAGACAACTCAGATACTAACTACACACAGGAAGTAAATTTACAGCTTTATTATTGTAAAAGAAAATTTACTCAGTCACTCTCTGATGGCCCTTGTATTCCTTGTATAGTAGCATATAACTATGTGTATTGTAACAACTGTACATGACTAAACTGGATCAATTGTACATTGACTTAGTATCTGGATCAACTGTACATTGACTTACCTGAATTTTCTTGAGTTTTTCTTCCTCCAAGTTTTTCTTGAGTTTCTCGATTTCTGTATTTGAGCCACCAGACTGTGACTGAACCTTCTGAAGTTCTAAATATAGATCACAAGTTTAAAATATAGATCATGATTTTTCATTAGAGATCAAATTCATCAGACTCTTTCTGAAGTTTTAGATATAGCTCACATTAGTCAGACTAAGACATGAACTTTTGTATTTCAAGATCAGCCTGCGTATTAGACCACAACTTTACATTCCTTGTTAATGTAACATAAATGGCAGAAATTGTCAATGCCCTTTTCCATCTGGGATATCAGAAAAAGATCAGAGATCATTCACCTTTACACATATTCATCCCTTGTCCATCTTTTATGATCATTCAATGACTTTTATCTGACAATAACTAACCTTCCTGGATTTTCTTTAACTTGTTTTCTGTGTCCTCTTTCTCTGACCGCACCTCCTCAATTTCTTTTGTAAATTCTCGTTTGGATTCCTCCAACTAAAAGAAATTAAAATAAACAATTGTTCAAGCTTGCAAAAGGCATTACATTGCATTCTTGAGACTGAAACAGGGACATTGAATCGCATGTTAAAAACTTAAACTGTTAATTAAAATGAATATGAATTACGCTCGAGTTCAGAATATTCCTTACCACAAGAATCATGTGTTCCTTTTTGCTGAGGTCTGTTTTATGGCGATTCATCAGCTCCTTGATTTCCAGTTCTAGATATGTCTTCTCCTTCTCCACGTCTGACAGCTGTTCCTCTGCGATAGACCGGGCCAGACCCTCAGAGTCAGCCTTAGCCAGGGACAACTGTAGCTGAGCAGCCAGAGAATCCCTAAAATAAACACGACAATTAGAGAATCCCTAAAATAAACACGACAATTAGAGAATCCCTAAAATAAACATTACAATTCAGTCACCCTTCAAAGGTCACTCTCAAGGTCAGTATGTTACCTTGCATACGGTAATTGGTTGACAAATCCCTAGATCAGAATGTTTTTGACCTGTACAGTGGTCAGTACTCACTTTTTAAGCTGGACACTCTGTGTCAGTTTATGTGACATATATACAGTGTACATTACTCAATTTTCGTGCTAGACACTCTGAAGGTCTGTAAATAGCTGACAGATATGCATTGAACAGTACTCACTTTTCATGCTGGACACTCTCTAGGTCTGTATGTAAGTGATCTATATACAGTGATCAGTACTCACTTTTCATGCTGGACACTCTCTAGGTCTGTATGTAAGTGATCTATATACAGTGATCAGTACTCACTTTTCGTGAGTGCTGAACACTTGATAGTACTCACTTTTCATGCTGAACACTCTCTAGTTTTGTTTATTAGTCACCTATACAGTGTTTAGTACTCACTTTTTGTGCTGAACACTCTCTAGGTTTGTTTATTAGTCACCTATACAGTGATCAGTACTCACTTTTCGTGCTGAACACTCTCTAAATCTGTGGTGACATCCTGGTATTGTTTTCCCTTATCCTCTACGTCTTCCTTTAATTCTTTTACTTGAGTTCTGTACAACGACTGGAAAAATCAAAACATGATGTACAGCGAGTTATGCAGGTAAGATTCTTCTGTTTCAGAGAATTATAAGCATATATAAATGTACTTACAAAGAATTAAAAGTATATACATGTACTTACAGAGAAATATTGTTCTGCCTCCAGCTGGTCTTGTAATTCTTTCATCTGGAGGTCATTTATTGAGAGATCTCTGTAAATAGGCACATATATGTATATAATATTAATTCTACTGATAGTTAACTGCACAAACAGAGAAGGACCTGTCAAGGACAAATTTAAAGATATTAGCTGATCATTGATTAAAAAAAAATTGAGAAGTGTTGCAAAACATTATAATATTGTATTCACATGAAAATTTGATCAATAGCTTAATTTAATAAGTGATCTACAGTATATACTCCCAGGAAAAGCAATACCATAAAATGTTTTTCCCTGAACTTCACATGTGCAATGCTTATACCCACTCCTGACTGTATACAAATAAATTGTACGTACTCTCTAACTTTACGTAGTTCCTCCTCTAGATTTCTCTTTTCTTCTTTCAGGTCATCAATTTCCTACAACAGAAATTAAACAAGACTCAATATCAAATCTAAAATCCTAAATACAAGTATTTAACTTTCACTGCATATTTCAAACAAACAAACATGACGCCTTTAGTTACATGTACCTTGTTAAGCTGTTTCTCCATGGTTTTATAGCGAGTCAGGTCATGGGTTTGGCTCTTAAAGTCGCCCTGCATCAAATTTCTCCACTGTATTTCCTGCTCTACTTGAAGGGAATAGTTTTTGGACTTGAAAATGAAAAAAATCGCAAGATTACTCAAAAACTATTTAAAACATCGAGTCCCATTTGCAGAAACACATCACTCCATTGCTTTGCAGAAAAGCAATGTTTGAGGAATTTCTAGCTAATTAAAAACTTAAATAAATTGTATGGCTATAATTTCAAATTCAAAACTTGATGTAAAATCTTCTTTTAAACCCTATACACTTCCCAGAACAATTTTAATTTTTTAAAATTTTTTTATCATTCAGGACGCATCCTTACATATCATATCCATGGAAAGGGGAAGAAATTGTTATACACACTCAATTTTTTTTCTTAAGTTAAAAAAACACTAAATGACAAATATTTTGAAAGAGAAAAAAACCCCAAACATATACTGTATGAAACGTAACAGTTAAGCATGACCAAATCATGGTCAAACAAGAACATAATCTAAAAATTTAATACTTTTCAGGAGAATTGGAACTAACTTACCTCCATCATATAACTGAATTGTTTTTTCTAGAATGAACAATTATCATGTAGCTGCCTCTATACTTAGTGAATTGTATTTTCTTGAGTGATCAATTATTAGGCAGCTGCCTAAAGATAAAGAGCTTCACTGTATCTACTACTATTAAAGTGAGTACCTTTTCTTTTTCATTTTTCAGCTCCCCCTGTACG